TAAATAACTTCCTGTGATTGAAACACAGTGACATGTTCCAAAGTAATATTTCGTTCTCTTTTTAAAATTCATTAATTTTGGAAATTTATTACTAGGGTGAAAAATATTTTTTTAGGCTCATAGTAAATCAGTATTGACAAACAAGTCCCCCCCCATCTCTGTCTCTCTCTCTCTCCCCCTCCCTCCCTCTCTCTCCCTCTCTCTCCTCCCACTACACACGCTGGGGCAGATGGTGCGTGAGCAGTACACCACAACCACAGAAGGCACCCACATAGAGAGGCCAGAGAATCAATGTGTCTACAAAATTGGCATTTATGGCTGGAGGAAACGTTGCCTCTACTTGTTTGTTCTTCTTTTACTCATCATCCTCGTTGTGAATCTTGCTCTTACAATTTGGATTCTTAAAGTGATGTGGTTTTCTCCAGTAAGTATTATTTTTTTTTCTGTTAAGTACGTTCTTGTTTTGTTTTCTATACCACTTCATCTAGATTGTACTGATAGAAGTTTCCTTTAATGTAATTAATATTTGTTTCTTTTCTGCCTGGATCATAATTTTGAGGAGCAAAATGTCTATGTAGCATTTAAGTTTTTCCCGTGTTTTGTCATTGGGAACTCTACTGTGTTGGTTTTGTTTGGTTTTATCATAATTGTTTTCGTTACTCATTATCTCCATAGTACACGATGGGAAGATTGCAATGATCTTGAGTTTGTGGTTGTTTCAGTTCAGATTGTTCAAAGGTTATTTAATTCATAAGTTTGTAAAATTGTATAAATCTTTTTTCCTAATTTCATTAATTCATAAATATGTACCATTTAAATGCCACTCTCGCACTTTTTAAAACCTTTGTGCTGATATATGACAAATTCATGTGCACACTTCAACACTAAGCAACACATTAAGTAAATCAAATACCAGCAATCCTAAGGAATTCATATTCTGTTTTAAACATACTCACGTTTTAAAGATAGCTGCATAACTTTATATGCTCTGATGATATTTCATGTACTTTTTGAAATAATATTCATTTACTGTAAAATGCCTTAATTTTGCAAGATAGCTACAATGAGATAAAAATACTGTAGAGAACCTCTCTTCCTCACCTGCATCTGAAGTCGGGATATATGCACAGACTCTTTCTAGGAACAGTAGTTGTAGTAATTTGTCTGAAATGCCTTCCACTATTAGTATCGTTCACTTTCCATGCAATTATTTCTATCCTGCTATAGTTCTAGCCATAGACGTATTATTTATTTTGTTGACATAATAAGAAATATTTATATTTTTACATATGCAAAGAAGTAAAATACCAATAGAATCAAAATATAGT